GCGTCTCTAAAACAGAAACCATGTTTTCATCATCGACTTGTACAATTTCCTGTTGAGTACTATGAGGTCCTAAATTATTTCGGTCTAGTTGATGACTAGTGATCATGTTTATTTGGTTAGGTATTTGGTTTATTTCTGCACGTGCGGAACCAGTCATCAAAGAATTTAAATCATTAGAGCTATCATCACTCGAGCTATAATCCGTATTAGCACAGTAGTTAGGATCTCTCACCGAATCATCGCTTTCAATAAATAATGGATCTTCGCCATTTCTTAAGCTTGCGATTGTTGACGTATCAGATGCACCTTCAGTTTTAGAATTATCCATCAAATCAGCTAATATCTGAAACAACGTTGCCGTCTCAGGACACATAAGAAAAAGCGGTGAAAAAAAAAATCGATTGATAGATTCGACACTTTTCAGCAGAAGTCTCAGTGAGCAATTAAGAGGTTACTAAAGCATTATTGGAATTGATATCTGCCCACACAGCTCGAGAACATTCGTTATTTTTAGCAATGACAAGGCGAGGAGTCAGCGGTGAGTATGGAGGTGGTTCTATAATTTTTTGAACAGTAGTCTAAATACCATCATTACCAATAGAATTGATATTTGTCCATAAAGCTCCAGAAGTTTCATTATTTTTATCAATGACTGGGCGGTGTGTAAGGAGCCACCTCCTTTGCTTTTTTCAACAGCAGTTTCATTATCATTATTACCAATAGAAGTTGGTATAGCTTCTCTTTTTTTTTAACCAAATTAATAGCTAAAGACAGATGGAGAGATAAAGAACACTGGAATGCTTCAGCAGAGATGGTAAGTAATTTAGCAGACAAATTAGGTTAAGCGCCATCACCCCCTTTGCAAGTAATTTTTTCATACGAATTATTAACCACAACGTCCGTTCTAAATCTTCGCGTTCCCAGCAAATCTGGAATGATAACCCTCTGTTAATTAAAAATTGCAAATTTAAACATGCCTATTGAGTCGATTAACTCTTTTCTATAAAATTCTATAATGGTTTACTATATGGATTCTGTAATGGTTTACTTACTTTTGACAAAAATGTAGTTACGCTTTTTTGGGTATTACAGCAGTATACCAATTAAGTCAGCAGTAAAAAAAACAGCATGCAAGAAAAAAGGTATGCAAAATGCAAAAAATCCAGAGCTAACATAAAAATTACCTGAAGAAAATTGCATTGGACCTGAAACTGCAAACGACCAAGCGGTCGAGAGATCTGAAATCTGGAAAAAAAGGTTCAAAATATTACGCAAACTATTACATAACTAAAATGTAGATACGTAATTTTATGTATGTAAATACAAAGAATCTGAACTATTACAACCCAATTTAAACAAAGAGTCCAATAAACTAAAGAAATGACTCAGAGAATGAAGTTTCATTAAAGCCTCGATGACACTGGGCTAGTTTACAAGCTATAAGCCACCGAGTTCGCGAGCAGATTATAAACTCGTTTCGTGTCATTGAGCTTTTTACAATCTGCTTTTGTAAAAAGCTGCTTGAAATATAGAGAGCCAGGCTAATTTACTCGCCATTCGCCAGCCTGTAGTCTGTATTAATTAGCTGTGTGTCATCATCGCTGCTGTTGAACTAGTAGCGAGCATCATCATTTGGCAGTTTAAGCTAAAATGTCAAAGGAAGTAGTTCACGCCCGAGTAGTTCTTTTAGCTCATGTTATCAAGAAGGATTTACAACGAAAACTAAAGATAAACTTGAAACAGAAAAGAAAATGGGTAAGATTGTGGATAGAAAAACGCGATGAATATGGTGCTTCCAGTGGTTTATTGAGAGAGTTGAAGGACCAAGATCATTTGGCCTATAGAAATATATTGAGACTAAACAGTTTGCAATTTGATGACTTACTGCAGATGGTAGATGGAATGCTCAAAAAAAGATACGACAATGAGAGCAGCAATACCAATTACCACGAAATTGGAAATACCATTACGTTATCTAGCCACGGTCGATTCTTTGAAGTCTTTAGAATACCTGTTCAGAGTTGCGGAATCAACTATTTCGAAGTTTTTACCCGAAGTGCTAACAGCAATTTCTCGCGCCCTTCGACCGTTCGTTGAAGTGAGTGAAAATTACTACAAAATTAAACACAAGTTTTATTAGACAATGTATTTTAAGACAATTTATGTCATGTTTTCTCCAAATGCATTCATAATGGCCTGCTGCAAAACATCTCCATCGCCATCGTCATCGTTCATCGTCATCGTTGTGCTCGTTTGACAAAATGTGTGACACCTGTTGCTCTAAAGATGACGGCTTAAAACGAATGATGCAGTTTTGTATTTCCTGTTGTAACAAGATGTTATGTCGCTGTGGCAGAAGACGGAGCTGAGATGTAACAAATTTTCCTAACTGGTCATAGAGCTTCTCATCTGATGACTCCTTGGCAATTTCACCCAATTTTTTAATAGCTTGCGATATTTCAACAGGGGTTTCTTCGGATGCTGGTCGTTTTTTAGGTCGTTTCTTTGGCGTCGAGGGTGGTCTCATTTTTTCAGGCGACTTCTTAGGACGTTCTTCTGAGTGACGTCTTCATCTTGTGGTGTGTCTTTGTGACACTTCCTAGAAAATACAATGAAATATAACGTTTATTTATTCTCAGGTCACAAAACAAGCTGATGAATGGAAAGAAATCTTAAATAAATTTCTTCAGAGTTAGAATTTTCCTAACTGTTTTGGTGCAATCGACGGGAAACACGTTATCATTAAGAGGCTTCAGTGTTCCGGTTTAGTCTACTCCAATTATAAAAACCTACAGTATAATATTATTTGCTTTGTATAGGTTATAGAATGAAACCACGATTTTACGAGTAAATTAAAGGCGTTCGAAGAACCGTGCCGCGTGCTACGAGTGTATGTGCGACACTGTCCGAGGAAGAAATGATCTCCGATAATGTACTTATAGGTGAAGCGGTTGTTCATGAGTGCTTCTTACTTAATTTATTTCTATCATGACGGTACACAAGAATCAAACAATATACATAATATAAAAAATAGCATAAGAGACAAATAGTCACATAATAAATAAATCTTTTATAGTGCGTCGCTTACACTGGTTGATGCCGATTACTGTTTTATTTAATAAACGTAGGTGCAAATGGCCGAGCAAGCGATAGTGCTGTATTAAGAGATAGTACTTTGAATATTGCGATGGAAAACAAGACTCTTGGCTGGCCTGAATACGGCGTTATTATTGGAGATGATGTTTTCCTTTTGAAGAAAAATCTTATGAAACCGTACAGTAAAATAGGTCCAGTTCTGCCGAAAAAATATTCAATTATGTCTTTACCGTGCCAGACGAGTCGTAGAAAATGCCTTTGGCATACTAGGTATTGCGGTTCAGAATATTTTCAAGACCTATTGATTTGGCGCCGGAAACTTGCGATAAACTCATTGGGGCTGCTTTTTGTCTTCATACCTGGCTAAGAAAGACTGATTCTGGTAACATGCCATAACAAGCAGTAGATGGAGAAGACTTGCATACCGGAAATATCACACATGGACTTTGGAGGGAAAATGCTAATAATGTGCATATAATATCATTTACGTGGAAATCATTTCAGTCGAGCTGCTGAGGAGATCAGAAGAGTATATGTTATCCATATTACAGATGAAAATTCTCTGCCGTGGCAATGAGAGAAAGCTGGAATAACGGTCTAATTAAAAATATTTTTGACATTAATAATATAGTATTTTATATGTTATACATTTAAAATACTCACGTGATTTGATTTGCTCCTTCTTGTGGCACATTTGTCAAAAATTTCGCTTCATTGAACCATACCAACTTTGGCGTGTATACTTCCTCCGTACAACATCCACTTTTCTTGGATTTTTCGATTTTATTTATTTCTTGTCTGTATACGTCTTTAATTGATTTTATTTTTGCCTTCAATTGCTTCACATAAATATCCACAGTTAATTGTTTTTCGTTAAGATTAACTAAAAGATTTTTGAAACTTTCATCCTTTACCTTTGTGTTACAATACTCTTTGTCTTTAATATTCCATAAAATAGAATACTGAACGTAGATGTTGAGAAACTATTATATCACGCGTGTTCCACTTCATTTTTCAGTTTAAAAAATTAATCAAAATACGCAGACAGCACGCCACACAAAACAACGTGGTTCCAACTAGCCAGCTTCCAACCAATTAGCTCAGAAGATCCGTGTTGTGACAGACAGTCAGGATGAGACCATGGCTATCTGGTCCTAGTACCATTTCCAACAAATCTGCTAAATAGTTCGCATCAGGAGGGTATGGGATCATGCATAAAACCACGCTGGGGGGTAGTACTCTCAGACAGCTTTCCTAGAACAGAGGTTTCGGGCCTCATTATATGAGACAGAAACTCCTCTGGGGTGCCCTTTCCCAGACATTTAAGTGGGGGTCGCAGTCTTTCCAATGCGGGAATCCTTGGCTTTTAAGTACATGCTGGGCGGCATTAAAATGAACACCCTCTGGATCTCGTATGGTTACGACATAGGAGATGTTCGCTTCGTCTATGTAATCCCATCCCTGAAGTGCGCACAGAAGCGAGCAATCAAGCTGAGGTAGATCATAAGGTAAGGAGAGCAGCACCGTCCCCTGAGACACATGAAGACCCACAGTTCGGGGGACACTACCTGTGGGGTCTGACACTCTTACAATTCCAGGACCCGAAGAGGACCTTGGAGGAGGGACTGCTCTCACATAACTGACCGATTCCTCCTCCGTGTGCACTAACCGGAAAGGTATATGTCTAGTTATGGCAGGAGATATCTGCTCTACATAGTTTAGCAGCTCCTGCGTAGTTTGGACACTTGATGTAGGCTGTGGTTCAACTGTCAGCTTGAGGACAATTCTCACTATTCTCCTATATACTTTTTCGGCATTGTCCGGAGTAAGATAGGCTCCTCTCGCAACCAGGTTCAATATCCCCTCATCCACACACCTGGTCAGAGATAGATATAAAGCCGATCTCAAGTCACCCTCTCTGCCTGATGCTGATAAGCCTGCAAAAGCATCCCCAAGTCCCCTGTCTTTCCGCAGGTCATATATGCCGTCTTTTTGGCAGTGTACACTGCATTAAAATATGTTTTTCTCTGGGCAAAGAACTTCCGATCATACACCATCAGGTAAAATACCATACAGGGGATCAGCACATCTATCATCACCCCCCTGAACTCCGTGAGATTGAGAAAACTGGCTTGAACACTTTCCCCAATCGCACGGTTCTCCAGGGAGGCGACGAACTCCTCTTCTCTGATGTGGATGATCCAAGCTGCGAGCTTGTGTGCCATGTGGACAGAGTAGGAGAATCGGGGGCATATCTCCACGTTAGTTGGTATGACTCTCCTATCTTCCACTTTTGTCACATCTTCTATCACTTTGGCTAAAGGTAGACCTTGATAAGTGCATGCTTCAAGAGTGACGGACTCCGGGGGAAGCTCCCATATGCATTTCTTGTCCAGCACTATTGCCATGGTGGTCGGGAAATAACGATACTCACGGTACCACTCGGCCAAGACCGACAACCCATAAAGGAAATCCTCCTGAAAGCAGATGTTAAAATTCGTACCCTGTTTGGCATAATGGGTCGCCGTGTCTGACACTATGCGTAGCCAAGTGAGTATCGTTGTGCACCCGTTCCACATGGCTCCTCTTAGTGCTGGACATGGAAGTCTGTGAGGTAGGAGTCCGGAGTAAACTTGCGCTGTGAGTGGTTCCAGCTCAGCCAGCGTGAGTCTTGTCTTCTCCTTCAATAGAACCTTTAGCAGGTCATACAGTCCTTTGCTCCCCTTTACCCAGCTCCTTAGTTCCATTATCATTTTTATACTCTCTATAACCTCCCCCACCTCCATCACTTGCAAAAGCGCTTTTCGAGTGCGGATCTGCGTCTGCGATCCAATGTAAGGCAAACGAGGACCTCTCTCGTGAAAGCGATCGTGGTGAGATTCACCAGACAAGCTTACCATGATGGAGGAGGGTACAGCCTCTTCCGGGATTGTTTCCCATGGAACAATCACTATTTTGTCGTACGGAGTTGGCATAGTGATTCCCTCTAATGCTAATTCCCATAAGGTCTCACGAAGGTGCTGGGCCAAGGTAGTCACACATTTTGTCCGCTGAACCTCCACTGTGAAAGGTGTATGTTTGGTTCTTAGGTAATACCTACATGTTCGAGTCTCTAGAGCCTTTACAGTTGCATGCAGAGCACTCTCATCTATCCACATTAACATGGATGCACTTTGGATGGAACGAGATGTTGAGAATTTGCTGATCAACTTCTCAATGTGGCCTATGTTCGATAACTGCCACAATTTGCAGAGTAATTTAGGACTGATCGGGCGAATGGCCAGCAGGTCTCTCTTGAGATTTGACTCTTCCACCTCTGCCTTGGTGTTGAATATTGCCAGCATCTCTTTGTTCTTTATGATTGCAGGTAGCCCCTCCCTCAATCTCCTTCTAAACATGTTTTCTGGCTGGGGAGGGAGATTGAGGGGGATGCTGCCGGGGTCCTTGATAAGTTGGATATGATCCACGTGTGATGGTCTTCCTATGTCCAGTAAGGCATGCACCTCCATTCGTAACCTATTGTCCTTGAGAAGGTGTTTCAATAGTCTCAGCCCCAAACACAGAGTATCTTGAGTGGCTCTGGTTGCGAACTGAGGGAACAGCATCGGCGGGTATCCTCTAACCGATCTATTCATCAATAAAAGCACCATCATCCACTCGTTAGATTTCTCCTGGTACTCGGGATGCCTCCTTCACAGAGCTCGGGCAGCTTCGTATACTGTGATCATATAGGCGGGTGTTGGCGTCTCGTCGTCTCCTGCGATTGAGGTTTCACTGGAGAACAACCCCGCTATGACAGCATTGGTTGTATGTATAGTCTGTTTCGCCTCGCTAGTGAGTCTTGTGGCTTTATTCAAGGCGCCGCTTACCTGTACTCCGTCTAGATAGTAACGTCTTCCATATTCAAGGAGACGACGAGAACGCCATGATTCAGGGACTTTGATCACTATGCCTGACTGTACATAGATATCTTCTAATACCTGAAGAAATTGTTGGGTGTATTCATCAGGTGTCAGGTCGCGGTCCCTCTGGTACTGTCTAGAAAGGATTCTGAGAACAATAACCTGATTATCCCCTTGTCCTAACAATGAGGTAGTGGTGTCACACCTATGTGCGGCCAAGAGGATAATCAGGATTGTGGCTAGAGTCCAACCTTTTTGGCGTAGGCCCTCCAGCCAAGCCTCCGGTCCATGGACACATCTTGGTCCTTCCACTGGTTCACCGTTTGGGTCTTGATCTGGAGGGGCATACCAGTCCTGGAATAACAGTTTTGATATCAGAAGGAATGGGTAAAGCTGTATACATTGGTAAACTCATAAAGATCATTAATGCTCCCGAAGAGCGGCTCAAACAGCTCTGCGCCGAAGTGGGTACACCAGGAGGAGAAATTTATCACGATATTCACATAGTCGTGGTCTCCTCCTGGACAACTCATCCGGTTCAGAGTCTTGGTCAGCTGCTCTTCGGAAAGCGTCTTTGCTTGATGTTTTATGTATTGGAAAAGAGAGTCCGCAAGCTTGGCTCTGAGACGATCTGATAAGCGCGCATCGCTGCTGTCATCTTACCAAAACAACGAGCATCCTTTTCCTTGAATTCCCTTTCCTTTGGGACCGCGACCATGATTGTCCAATCTAAAGGGATGATGCCTTGATCTATGCAATTTATAATTTCCTTGCAATCGAGTAATTCGGTTGTGAGAAAGTGAAGGACGACACTTTTTGTTGTGGGGGGCAGCCCCTCAGGAAATCGCCCGTGAGCTGTGCGGAAGGCTTTTGTGTCGAATTCATAAATCCATTCAGACGCCCTAGGTATTATTGCTTTATCCGCAATAATATCTACGGTGTCAATATGGTAGTTGAAGTCGAAATTCTTGCCGAGCCTGCTGTGTTGAAACTCCATAGGATCCCACTTGAGGGATACTGTCTCCCGTTACTCGTTCTCCAATATGCAGTTTAGAATGTGAGGGTTTATGTGAGGGCCGTATGTCAAGTTTGGCCACTTATTGTGTCGTTTGTAAAACTGACGACAGAATTCTTTTTTAAACATGCAGTCGATTGCTAACGCAGCATCTCGTAAGGTCGGCTTCATAACTGTTCCTTTTTTCATCCAAGCCCTGGTCGTGGCATCCATATCGACTATAGGGTGCCCCATAGCTTTCCACAGTCCCACCATATCTAGTCGATGCATTGCATGAATGGTTCCCATTACCGCTCCTGTTTCATGTTGATAGAAACTTGTAGACTTGATACTGTCACCTAGATCCTCAGTTATGGTGGTAATTAATTCATTAGAGTGTTCCAAGTCTCTAAGGATTGATCCAATGACAAATGATAGCTACATTTTTAGCACCGTGTAAGCTTATTAAGCCTCCACCTTGATGTCCATTCTTGCTGTTGACGATCGGGCGACCTCATCAATCACTCGAGTCCACACTGATGAAATATATGTTTGTCCAGGGGTAAAGATGTATTATATTCCGGGGGGTGTCTTGTAATAATGCGAATACGACACCTTGGTTACGTACGCGGCCACTCGGGCAGCTCTTCTATTTAACTCCGATTCGTCGCTGGTAATATCTTTCCATTTCAGGAGTCCGTCACAGCACCAGGCAAAAAAAGAATCCGGGGTCAAGATTTCTTCATTAACAACATCTTCAATTATCCGTCTGTGATGGGGTCTGAGTGCTGCTGGGTTGTTTCTGTGTCTGAACATATATTCTATTTCTGTCATGGTTATGGCTGATGCTAAATGCTTTTCTCTTCTGTACATGGGTTTTGATTCGAGGCCAGGAAGTTCTTCTGATGACTCCATGATTTTGAGTGATTATTCGTTCACTGTTTTTTCTAAAGATATAGAGACACAGAGAAACAGAATAGATTTATGAACTTGTTTAAAAGTTGGAGATCACTTCATGGAGAACAGGATACTACCCTGTCTTAACTTGATCTCAAGGACTGTTCTTCGGAGCTTGTATAGCGGGGCCAAGACTATGAACTGTACAAGACACACCACCAAACCAGTCACAAGATAAATGAAATCTCTTCCATGTACATGATGCAACATATACCACCAATGATTCCTCTTCTAGGTTATAGTTTCCCATGTCATTATAGGTAATAGGACTGGTGCATGGTTGGATGCGGATGTTGTTTCTCTTTCCCAGGAAGGGGGATTGTTGCTGGTGTTCTGAATCAGGGGTGAGATGCTCAGGTGTAGAAAGATCATATTTATTGGTGTCACACTGCCATTGTTTACCATAACCAACCTCATATCCTAGATAACGAGGTTGGAATCAGGAGACTCTTTCACCCAGTATGACACCTTGGGGTGTTAAAGACACACGGGAGATTTCCTTTGTTGGTAGTGTACCGTGGCAAGATGCTTGTATTTTTTAATTAAATCGTATTTTACAACAATAATGATGTTTTATTTACTTACCTATATGCTTTTTCTCACTGTCAGACTTATCGTCGAATTCCGGAATTAATTCTTTACAAACTTCTTGCCAAGATCTTATTTTAGCATCACGGTCTTTATAAAATACATAAGATAAATCCCATATTGCCGGACGAAGCCGCACTTCAGTAATAAGGCGCTCCGTATCGATATTCATTTTGGCTTTGGGTGTACGTACGCCCGTACGGTCGGTCGCTCCGTCAGCGAAGCACTGAACGCATCCCATCACATCCATACAATCTCATAGTTCGTCGATTGACCGACGTACGCGCGACCGACGAGCCGGACCGATCGTACGCGCGTACCAAATCACGGTCAAACCGTGGGTCGAGCAATGTTTCCAGCCTATATATTTTTTGTTTATTCAATTCCCGAAAGTAGCAATCCTTTGAATTTTCAATTTTCGTTGAAGTTGATCAGCTGTAAAAAAGATATAAAAATAAATATAATGTAAATGTGTAACCTTTTTGTGTGCAATGTCTACGAATAATTGCAAATTGCAGAATACGTACAAATAAAAACATTTTTTTTTCAGGTAGTTAGCACCAGGTTGCAGCCTTACAAGTTTACACCACTCTTATCTACGAGGACTTTCAACAATATTCGGGATTGTGAATGAAACATGTCAAATAATCTTCGAAATTTTAAATGCTAGTTATATCCCGAAACTAAGTCAAGATGACTGGTTAGGTGTCGCAAATGGATTCTTCAACAAATCCAACTTTCCTAATTGTTTAGGTGCCGTAGTTGGTAAATATACACGAATAATCCGACCAGAACACTCCGGGTCTTAGTATTATAATTATAAACATTATTTTTCTCTTGTTCTTCTAGCTGTATGTGATTCTAATTATTGTTTCACCTATATAGATGTTGGGTCTGGGATTCACAAATTTTCAAAAAAAGTGACTTCTATAGCGGACTTCAGGAACGAAGACTTGACATGCCAAACAGCGTATCGATTGAAAATAATGGAGTCTTTTGTTTTTGTTGGGGATGAAGCATTTGCAATCAGTAATTTTATTCAACTAATTTTAACTTCCTCAATAAGTACTTCTATGTCAAATTGATCTGCATTCATCTTGAGGTTCAATATTAATTAAAAGCGTGTCGCTTCCCTACGCCAAAAATAACGTGCGTGTGTCATGGTATTGGCGCTGCGACTGCGCTTCTAGAAATTGTATGAAAATTAGTAGCGGCGCGGCTAGCGCACCACAGTGGTGCCACTGCAGCGCTTACTCACGCCTCTAATTTAAAGGCGCCCTAAGAATCTAATTTTGTCTTCATCAAAGTCCATATTCCTCTTTTTCAAAATAAGTTTTCTCTTGTCCAATAGTGAATTTAAAATATTACCACTAGGGGATCTATTTGGAATTTCTGCTCCTTCTAGTGGTTCTTCAACCAGAGGTGGGTCTTCTTCATTTACTTGCTGATCATCTTCATTATCATTCTCATCACCTACTAGATGTAGAAGTTCATCTCTAGTATAGTTTGAATTTGGTGGATCATCGTCATCAGAGTCATCAACTTCTAGTCCGTCTACTGACAGCCATCCATCTTTCAGTTGTGCTAGATAGTGTTCTATGTCTCGCTCTTGTAAATTATCTTAAAACAACAAATAATCATACAAAATGTAAAATTTAATGAACAAAAATTTAGTCCATATTTCGGGTATGGTACAGTAATGACCATACTGCATAGTGATCTAAATTTACATAATACCATATCAACCTAATTTTCAATATATTTTTTATGTTTTCGTTACAAATATTAGCAGATTCTGAAACATTTACCTTATTTCAACTCATTATGTATATTTTCAACAACTGCCGTTGATGTAAGCAAAATAACGTAATTCTTTTGCACCGTTACAACCACAGAATACAATTACTCTCTACCGAGTGTACACTACAAGCGCCACGGTGGGCGTCCATATAAAACTTTTTTAGCGGGAATTTCAAACCTTTGTATTCTGTAACTTTTAAACTTTTTGTTTCTTTAAGGTAAATTCGAGTAATTTTGGCTCAAGTCTGATAAACCTATTGGGTGAATTCCCATACATTTGAAAGGGTGCACCAATATTACTCGAATTTAATTTAGAGGAGCATGTGCGATAGAATAAAACTAAAATTACGTACATATAGAGTTACGGTATGTCGGCGATCGAAAAACTTTTTAAAAAGAATAAAATTAGTTT